TTGAGAAAATTAAATTAAATTAAATTAAAATCTTGAACCTTGAAACGTTTTGCATCCGCAGGTTCATCCTCTGCCCATTCATTCTGGTTGTCGTCCATGAGGGAAATGTCTGAGGTGTTTTTCAGTGGCCTGTGGAAAAAAAATAAATTTCAGTAAAAATCTGTTTTCATCTCATCACAGCTGCTCATTATGAATCCTGCAGCGACAACAAAACCARTTATTAAAATTTTACCCTTCACCTCCACCCTGTGAAGTTAATTACTGTCCATCTAAACCTGTTATTATCACTAATAATCCAAATAAAACCTCCCTTATCCAAATTTTYATTTCTCAACAGTTACAACCATTTCACTCTTAAGAACCAGCTCTTAGTCAGYGCTGCAGAGAAACAGGTTCTTGTAGACAAAAAAACCTTAAAGACAAATAAACAAACTTACTTTAATCCCACTGAATCCTCCCCGACGGGCTCACGTCGCTTCTTCTTGTTGGTCTCTGTGGTCTTGAAGCCCTCAGGAAGCCAGAGGCGTCCATGCTCGTGGCGCCGCTTTCGGGCGGCCACCATCCCCACTCCGAGGAAGAACAGTATCCCAACGCTGCCCAAGACCAAATAGATTGGGTAGAGTCCATCAGGAGGCTGGAGTTCCACGCCGCCTGTTAGGAGAGGGKACGACATGGTCACAACGGGCTGAGGGGCGAAAGACCAGGACATCCAGGATCTGCTTGGGGGTTTTTCAAGAAGAGCGTGTCCGGCTCTTCTTCGCCCCGCGGTTCCCCAACTCAAAAAATCCACCGCAGGCATCAGCCGGTGCCTGAAACTCACTGACGAGCCTCTCCGCTTGTCAGGCTAGCTTCTTCTATCCATTCGGTAATAATCAGAATTGCTAAACACTTTTCATCAAAAAAAAAAAGAAAAAAAAGGGGATGGGGCAAAAAAAACGAACATCAYCACCTCCTCTCTCCCTTTTCAACTCGGGGTACCAAGAGACAACTTTACCATTTCTTCTTTAAGAGAAAAAAAGGAGGGGGATTAATGAACTTCAAATTACTGCACGCGCTTTAAGCTGTAAAGACGAAGGATTTATTAGGATTTTCAAGATAACAAAGACTCCCAACTTCTAGCACACTCCCGATCAATTTTTTCTCTTCTCCTTTTTTTTTCCACTAACGATTTTGAAATGATAAACTCCCCCAACCTAAACCCTCAGAGATACATTAAGTCCTGGTATTACATTCAGCGAGGTGAAGGTTGCAGCAGCCCCTCGCACTGTGGGATAAGGAATGTGTGCGTGCAAGCGTGCAAGGGCGTTATCACCAGACGTATATTATGTGTACATGTTTGAGAAAGAGGGGAGAAGCCCGTATGATGTGGGGGGTGGGGGGCTAGATGCGTTGATTTGCAGCAATTAACTATTTTGGAGCCTGAAGCCATCGGATTTGCACACAGAGGAAGAGATTGATTGTTTCGGCCATGAGATTCACAACTGCATTTGTTCACTGCTGCATAACAAATTCACAATCAAACAGTCCTGGGGCGGGGGTCCAACCGGAGGCCGTTATGAGTACATGCTTGAGTGGAATTGTAAAGGAACACGGGCGTTTTTAGGTGCATACATTTGGACCATTTAACTGTGGAAGTGGGTTTGACTGACATTAGACCCCTCTTGGCTCTTAGCTGTTTTAGTTTTATTTTTATTTTATCACTTGAGCACAATAAGTACAAGAAAATTATATTTTATGCTCTTTTCATCAGCCGTCTGACCATCATCCTACATGAAAAAAGTTTTTTTTATTCAAGCTACCAAGTTCTGATCTGAAGTAAATGACACTCAAACAGAAGAGTGAGATCTAATTATAGAAGGGAATTATTATTATTATTATTATTATTATTAAAAAGAATATTATCTTATACAAACTGTATTGTTTTTACAATATACAGTTTAACAGACTTGACTTTTAACCTCTTAAGCCCCAAGGGGTTTTCTTCAAGTTTTTTCTCAAAATACCATGCCGAAATGTAATTGAGTGTTACTCAAAATAAAGCTAACACTTGGGAGATTTCATCAGAAGTGTAAGTAATAAAACAGCTGCTGTGGTTTTAGCGATATTGGAGGTGGAACATAATTTTTTATTTATTTTTTAACTCTCAGCTGAATAATTTTTGCATTAGACAGTTTATAACCTATTTAAAACCATAATGAATCAGTCAAAACTCTTGGAAACCATAAATCCACTTGTGGACATTACCTGTGCACAGATTCATGCTGCTAAAATTAACTGGAGCAAAGTTACAGAGGTTTTAGTAAAGAAATWTGTTTGTGTTTTGTCATTCTGCACAGGACAGACCATGATGGTACCATTAATAAATGTTAAGAAATCTTAAGTTTTTAATTGCAAAAGTTATTTATTTTTTCTTACCTGCCTTAAAAGACTTGTTATTGAATGTTTGTTCTTTTGAAAATTTATCCAAACATTTATTTGTCACCATACTGTCTACGTATATTATATAAAATAATGAGAAATTATATTTGACTTCAGTTGGACCATATTCACTCAAAATCAAGCGGAAAAAAAACTTTCAACACACTTTACAACATATTTAGGTATTTACTTTGACTCGCTTTAAAAAAATGTAAAAAAAATTATTTACAGATTTGCAATGACGCCATTTTGTACAGTTTGTTCACTTTCTGATTCAACTGCTTGATGTTTGAACTGTGTTTGTTGAATGTAAAAAGAGTTTCCATGAGCTTTTAGCCAAGATTCTTAGGTTTCTATTGATACAAACATGTCCAAGTTCACTTGCTCCTGGGTTGTATTTGTTAAAAAATGGCCTCAAACATGTTTAATGAACTATCAGAAACTTGTTCAGTCTGACTTTACTTTCAACTATCGATTTAAATCTTAGTGAACATTTGTGCTTTTTTTAATTAAAACGCCCTCTCAGCATTTTAACACTGAAAGCAAAGAATATGTAAATACTAACTCTCTGCTCTTTTATAATAATGTTGGGAAAATGGTTGGCCAAAAATGTCTCACAACATATGCTGATTCTAAGTCAACTTCTGCAGGGAATACTCACTATAAACAGCTTCGATGGTGAACGGAACATCCAGTTTGCCGCTGGACTCCAAAGCCCCGAGGAAAGCGGCAGCATCATCGGTGCTCTGGAAACACTCGCTGGACTGCTGGACGCACTGACGGTTGTCCATCTCCAGGTGGACAATGGAGCTGTACAGAGAAAAAAAAACATACACATTTAAGTTTTATTAATATTTTAATCTTTATTCTACAAAGCTAGTTGTGGAAAAAGCCAAAACAGACCAAATATAAACTCAGAGAAAAAAAAAAAGAGAACTGTGAACTATTTCAACTTTCTCACCCTTTGATCTGCAGATGATCGAGCTCCCTCCTTTTCCTCCTGCTGCCGTCAGCCCCGTCATACAGACTCCTCTTCACCACGTTCAGCACCTTGCCAGGAATATCGGACCACGAGTCCACAGAGCGCTTGACATTGTACTTCTTCAGCTCGTGTTCGTTCCCGTAATACGGGTAGACCATCATTTCCCCCTTCGCATCCTGCCTGAAGATCATGTTGGTTCTGAGGACGCGGCTCAGCTCACGCAGGAACCCGAAGGAGTTGTTGAGGAGCTGCTCGGGGGTGATGTGGACCACCAGGACCAACTGGCCCACGGCTAGTTTCTCAGGCATGTTGTTGGCGCAGTCCAAGCCGTCCCACTCGCACTCTGCATTGTTGCAGCCCTGGTCGCAGTGGCCGTCCGCGTAATGGTCCTTGCAGTACTGGTCATACAGAGGGCTGAGTGGAAAGGAGCAGAAATCATTTTTTTTTTAATTATACATTAACTTTGTTTTGTTTTATAGATTATATTTTTTAAAGAAGTAGGAAAAAACTATGTGCCATGAAGAACGATAGTCAGAACTTTAAAAACTGTTTATTCCTGCTGGAACATTCAAAACTAAACTAATTTCACAAATCCTAAAGCTCTACTWATAAAAAAGTGTCTGTGACATGCATTTTCTTCAAATACAAAATGTCAAAGAAAACATCTTTATATTTAAGAAAATTAGAACTATATACATGATTTTACCCATTTTGTCCTTTAACTGGTATATTTTCTTTTGAAATTGACTCAGTCAAGGTGAAACAGGAAGTGACATCAAAGGGGAACTCTTTAACAAAGAAAACTCTCTGGTCTTTGTTCATTGAAACAATATTATTTGAACTCTAACTATTCTTCATCTCTCCCTGATAGTGACTCAAAATGATCTTAAGAAACATCAGATTCTTCTCTACAGTCTGTGTTGCTGGCTGTTGTAGCACTGCTCTGTTCACATTCAGACATTCCSCTTTGACATGACTTCCTGTTAGTTTACAGGCAAAAATCTCAACAACTGTTCAGCTTTGCGACATGAAATTTCTTTTGCAATATTTTGTCAATGACATCTTTTCAAAAATGCATTCGTATGTATTATAAAAATTTGACGTCACAGGCACTTTAATATTCCAAAGTTCACGTCTTTGAGACTTATCTACTTAAAGCTCAATAATATTGATCGACTACCACGTATTTAATTGAATGTTTCATTTAGACAAAGAAAAAAAAAGCTGCTTACTTGCACTGTCCTTCCAGGTTCTGGCAGTCAAACCCATCGTAGAGGCATCCGGCACTGTTGCACTGTGAATCGCACTTTCCGTCGTTAAAGTACCTCCAGCACTGCAGCGCCGACGAGCAGTTCTTCCACGGGTCTTCGAAGTTKAGTGAGCAGTCGCCGTTGTCCCAGCCGCACGCGTGGTTGTTACAGAGCACGTCGCAGTACTTGTTGTGCTTGTGCTTCTCGCACTGCGGGATCTCGCAGGCGACCTCCACGTCCGTCGGCGGCGGGATGGTTTGGCCGAAGCCTCCGCGGAAACTGTAATCCAGGATGTGGCAGCGGAGGCCGTTGAAGTTGGTGGGGCAGATGCAGTGGTAGAACGGCGCCTCCGAGGTGTACTCGCACGTGCCGCCGTTGTAACAGGGGTTGGAGTTGCATGGGCTGTTGGCGGGAAACTGGCACTCGGGCCCGGTGAACGACGGCAGACACACGCACTTTGGACTGTTGTGGCCAGAGATGCAAGTGCCTCCATTGCGACAGTGAAGGCTGCCGCAGGCATGAGAGTCATATTCACAGGTGGATCCGGTAAAACCCTTTAGAGAAAAATATATGAATAAGTATTCTGCTTTTATTTTGGTAACGATGATGCATATCTTAAAATAAAAGATACTCATTGCAAAAAAAAAAAGATATCCTGAACTATGTGCAGTTTAAAGGAGTTTAACTCGAGTATTTTTCCAGATACAGTTCTGAAATATGGGTCCACACTTGACCTAATGAAACTCAACATGTGTGTCACATATTTCCCTGCGATATGGCTGATATTATTGTGTACTCACAGGAGGGCATTTGCAAATGAAGCCATGCGGCGTGTTACTGGCCACAGAACAAGTTCCTCCATTACGGCAAGGTTTACTCTTACAGCCGTCAAACACCGTGTCACAGCGCTGACCTGTAGAAAAAACACAAACAAGTTTTATATTACATCATAGCAAATAATATGTATGGTAAAAACAATGGTAAATGGTAAAATATATTTTCTATATATTATCTAAAGTTTTCTTTTGTTGAATATGCAAATGATACCTTGTTTCTCACTCATTACATAATAACATACATCTCACAATATCAAATAAAAATTTAAGGAAAAACAATAATTATAGAACATCATAACCAAGGAAAATAGCTGCCATTATCAAAAATGAGTGAGTAGAAGCATAGCTTATTGTCCCTTACCTCTTTGTTCAGCTAAACATAATTATACATACCCATATGAACACATAAATACATACAATACGCTTTTATATACATACATAAACATACCCACATATTTGTGCACACATACCTACATACAAGCTGATATATATGTATACCTCTACAAATACACAGTTTCCCTATCATCACAGTCTCAATTTGTCCATTATATGTTTCTAACAACACATTTTTATACATATTTTAAATGTATTTTATTTATTTTTAATGATTTTAGTTTCACAGAATACTTTAAACTTCACTGTACCTGTGTATCCGGTGCGACACTCGCAGCGATAATTGTTTGTGAGCTGGATGCAGCTGTGCGTGCCCCGTGGGTCGCAGGGGTTGGAGAGACACTCGTTGACGTCCCCCTCGCAGCGCTCCCCCACGTACCCTGCAGGGCAGAGGCAGTGGTAGCCTCCCACTCCGTCCACACACTTGCCTTTGTTGAAACACTTGGGCTCTTTGGTGACGGAGTCAATGAACGGGTTGCAGTCGTCAAAGTTGATTTCACAGTGCACACCTGACCAATGAGTAAAAATGTATTTTAAGTGGCTTCATCTGTTTACCTTCTTAATGATATCCCCCTAAATACATAGAAGAATGTTGATACTTGTAAATGAAAAAAATATATATATAAATATACATACACACTATATATATATATATATATA